AATGTGCATTGGCTCGTTTAGTTACACTCGAAGTAGATAGGCTCTCGCAAGCGATGCCCATTCATCAGAATCACTTCTGACTCACGTCTCCGTTCCCTCCTCGGAGAACGAGGGTTACCATACGTAACCGAGACGTTTTCAGATGTGCAGCTATAGATTTTAATAAAACTGGTGTCTTACGAGCGGGGTCCTCTGCTGTTAAGGGAAACATGTTGATGTTTTAATTTTTTTGTATTTCTTGCAACAGCTTGAGTTTGGCTTTGAAACCGTTAAGTTTGTCTGTTGCTGTTAAAATATTTTCTTTCTTTCCTTGCATATTTGTGTTAAGCTCATTTAAGTGACTACAAATATCTGCGAGGTATGCAATCTTGCAATCAAGCCCACCATGAGTCGTCGTTGATCTGTTCTTTGTGGGGTATGTCGTGCACAGTTGAGAATTGCCTGAGTTCATCTCGAAGCTCATAGACACGAGCTCAGACCTCATTTCATTGCACTGTGTTGTCAACAATCAGGACTTCAAAGGTCGTGACTTAATGTAGTTCACAATTTTGACAGCTTGTTCTAATGCTACTATCAGGTCTGGGGGGCTTTTGCGACGAGTGCTTCGCGGTGCAGCATGCAGTGGGTAATCTGCACATCTGGGTTTTGGTTCTTCACCATAGTTACCAGTCCTTTTACTTTTCCAGATGCCGCTCCATCTGTGCAAATACTGACACAACATGCCCCAGTTAAGGCCACGTTCTTTCAAGAAGGCTTACGTATTGCATGACTCAGTTTTTTTTTGCAGAAAATAAATCTCAGTATATAACACACTGTCCAGAAGAGGACAGTGTCCGCCGCAATCCGTAGGATCATCAATTTGGAGTGCAAATTTGCCACTTTTGTTCTAGTTTTTAGAGTTAGTCGTGTTTCTATATCAGCAGCCATGTCATGCAACGTTTAGATTAACGTCAGATAACGTGATTTTGTCAATTTCTTTGACAGCATCCTCCCCTATCAATACCCCTGTGATTTTCTGGCAGGCTGGCAAAATGAGTGATTCAGCAATGGAATGGGGCTTCTTTGATTTGGCGATTAGCTCTGTTACTAAGAAGCTTGACTCCTGAGCTTTCTCAGACACACGCACACTTGACATCATTGTTAGTTCTGTTTAACATTTTGTGCTTTTAGTCGCTTGAAGTATTCTATGTCTTTGCTGGTTTTGTTTCTAAATGTCACCATTGCTGCATTTGATAGCTTTTTCCTGCAGACGAGGCATTCAGGTGTGGGACAGCATCTCCGATCCATTTAAAACCATAAGCCAGGTAGCTTTCACTGCACTGCCTGATTTAATTTTCTTGGAGTGGTGGCTGCGGGTTGATGTCTGTTGCTTTTCTTTTGTTTAAACGTAGAAATGTATCCATCTTTGCCCTATCCTGTCAATCTCTGCGTGAAATATAAAATTGAGCACCAGTACGGGCGGAGTGGAGTGGGCGAATCTCTCCTGAGAACAGTCCAATTGGCTGTAGATCAATATTTAAACTTTAAATATGTATGAAATACATCTATAAAATATGAAATATATGTGTTTTCGCTTATTTTTGTTTGGACATGCTCATATGTGTCACAGTGTCTGGTATGTGTTCCCCTGGGTGTCCACTAGAGGTCTCTTCCCCATATCGTCACCAACTCACTATAAACTGCAATTCCCATAGTCTTTTTTTTTTTTTTTTACAAATAATAACAAAATATAATTCCCATAGTCCTTTGTCTGTACTCATCATTTGATCATTGCACACAGCTGTTTACCATTACCCTGTTAGTTCTGTGTGTAAAAATACCCTGTTTCTGTGTTCATTGTGGATTCCTTGTTTTCTGTCGTGTTGCACTTCCCTGTTCCACTCTGTATTGTTTCTTGTTTTTGGACTGTCGTTTATGGATTTTGACCTTTTGCCTGGATGTTTACGAGTACGGATTGCCCTAATAAACTGCGCTTGGATCTTACCTTTTCTCTCGTGTGCATTCCATGACAATATGTTGGTGTTTTGATATATTTTTAAAATATATGCTGTAAAAGGTAATTAAATGGTACGATAGCTATTTTAGGCTGTTTAAATTGGAAAAAAGCTGAGAATCTGCGGCACTAGCCAGTTCTCACGGCACCCACTTTGGGAACTACTGCCTCGGCACACTTTAAATATCTTGCATTTAAAGACTGAAATTATACAGAGATCGTACTATCCTCACTAATTGTGAATTTAAAAACATTTTAGGCTTAATATTAAAAAAATGTGCATTGTGCAATAAAGAAGTACTCCAAATAAAGTTTATTATAATATTTATACTAGTAAGTCTCAAGCAATATGTCAGTAACTATGTTAATGGATTTGTAGTATACTTGTGAAATAAATGTAATTTAGATTTAACGTAATTTGTAAATATATTTGGGTATATGTTTTTCTCAGTAGGGCTGCAGGATTGGGAAATACTGTGTAACAGCATCCCCCGTTACACTACATGAGTCTGTCCAGCAGAGGGAGTTGGTAACACACATCTGTTGTATCCTTGACTTCATGAGAAATGAAAGACACATTTGAAGGAGCTTTCGAATTGGGACAGCCGTCGTCACACTACGGTGACACAACTGGCCTTCGAAGGATGCAGCCTCTGAACTGCGACAGCAACACAGTGCTTTCTAGTCAACAGAATCCAGTTTCTAGTAAAGAGATGACAACAACACTGTTAATACTTACATGTCATTATATTAAGTTCCTTATCAATTTTCTTTCGACCCAGCGCTATATTGTAGAGAAAATCTACACAAAAATCTAAACATTTGCACAAGATTGTTGGTGCATATAAAAGCAAAAAGTTAAAGTGAAATTTCCAAGCATTTGGAATGAAATTAAATTTATTTTGAAAATGCACAGATCTTATTGTAAACGATTCATCCATGTACATGTTTATTTTTAAATTTCATCCTTGTAATATTTAATCCAATCATTTATTCTCCTTAAACTTTACAATCGACTGCAAGCATACATTAATTTTTGAGTGCAACATCCAATCAACAACTGATGAACCTTAGATTACATTAGTTCTTTTTTTTTTTTTTATAATGTTACACTTGGATGTACATCACAATATGTAAGAAAATATCTGTCACTATTTCCTTTTTCATTTCGACTTTATTTACACAGCGCTTATACGATACAGATTGTTTCAAAGCAGCTTTACAGTGATAAACAGGAAAATAAAGAATAAAGATCAATGATGCAAACATAAATCAATTCTGCTGTAAAGCGGCTCTAAAAAGACAACAGAGTCATTGTTCAGCTGAAGTCAGTTCAGTGTTGATTCAGTTCAGTTCAATAACTGTGTGAAGATCATCAACTATGAAATGAGTTCAGTTCATCTATAAGCAACTCTACAGAAGATAATAATGTTGTTATTCACTTTGAGTCAGTTCAATGTTTATTCCATTCAGTTCAATAACAGTGTCGATGTTAATGTTACTGTCACCAAATCCCAGCATGCACTGCAGTCACTGGTGCTGAGAACGGGTCCTGATACATCATCAGTGGACATTTTGTCTTATACATGCTATTATGACTTGTCACTGCACTTGACCTTAATGTCCATTGAAGTGTGAATAGTGATATATATATATATATATATAATAACCACATTTTTAGCACCTGTTACATAAGGTAGTTTTGTGTTTTTTGAATGATGAAAATCCGTCTCACTTTAACAGACCTTTAACCAAATTAAACCTTAAAAAAGAGAGAAATATTACAATTTTAAAACATTTAAACCTGTTCTAAATAACGGTTAGAAAGTATTTACTTGTTATTCTGTCAATCATTACGCATGAATATATAAACCGCTGCTGTCTCACAGTGCATTCATGTTTCAGATCTCCAGTTATAGGATAATATACATATGAACATATGAGGATTTCACTGGCAAGAAGATTACTAAAATGTGTCAATACTTTAACTTGTTTAACATATTGTAAATGTGAGTTTTAACATGCTTTCGTTATTGTATGACTTATTGAATTTATAATAATAATATTTAAAAAGAATGACTTAACAGAAATCAGATTTTTAACTCTTGTGCATCAATTTAAAAAGTTACTCTGAGGTTCTTAGGTAAAAAAAAAAACTGTCATAAAAATGTAAGCTTCGGATGTAAGCTTTGTTTGGTCTCTCAAGAAGATCCATATCAGATTTTCAGATTATTGTTGAAGTAAAAAAAGTAATAAAAAAAATTAAAAAATAATTACATTTATGAAAGTCAAAACTGCTATTAAATCAAAGTTATGAATCCAAAAAGTTGTGTTTTAAATAATAAAAAAAGAGCTTTCAGTGAGATTGTGTTTGGGTTCAGTGCTAAACTTTCCCGTTTAATGCCAGCAACTGGTATAAACAGCGCTGGGATCTGTGATTTGCAGTACAGTAGAATTTTCTCTATTAAATATTACACACACACAATTTTTTTAGTACATGCATACAAACCACACTGACATCCACACCCACACACTAGCACAATTAAAGCTGCATCATTTATCCAATTGACCAAAATACGCAGAAGAAAACAGGAATAAAGCGAGTATTCTGCTTTATAGGCCAAACCTGAGAAAATGCTGCCATCTTGTAAAAAATAGTCATTTCATTTTATTTTGAAGCCTTGACAACAGAACGAAAGTCTATTTATAAAGACCGTAATATTTTACAGTTAAATTTCAATGGGGATATTTTTGTCCTTAAGGTCCTGAGTGTAAATATTTTGTGTTATTCGTGTAAAATAGATTTATGAAAGAAAAATATGAGGGTGAAATAAGAAAATTCCAATAAAAATACACACTTGTGCCAAAAATTGATGCAGTTGGCATTAACAGGAAACAGTATACAAAAAAAATTGAAAGAGAAAAATGTCCTTAAAGAAACACAAGTGTTAAGTTGGCTCTACATTTTACATTTAAGTGTGATTGATGAATGAGACCCTTTTATTACAGTGTTGTTATTGAAGCATAATTTGCCAAACTGTATTAATCTAGAAGCAGAATCATATTTAACTGTGATTTTCTGCTGTAATAAACAGTTTAACTGGTAAGATCCTCAGAGGGGAAGTTGTGCAGCGATTATATAAGAATGGAAAGACTGTGTCATTGAAGGTGTGTGTGAATGTGAGTAAATGTGTGTTAGTTTCAGGATCAGAGAATGACACTGTTCCTCTGTCATAGTCCAGCTGAACTCTCACACGCTGGAGCTTCTGTTTAACAGTAAAGACAGTGTCTGGTTGCTCTGGGGATTGTGAGCCGTATTTGCTGTTCTTGTACCGCACACACCAGACATTAGAGTTAAAGAAAACCTGTCCCTTCCTTTGGTTTGATGCTGTGGTTATTCCAAGAGTCCAGTATGTATTGTCTCCAACCTCCACATCCCAGCAGTGTGTTCCTGAGTTAAAGCCCTCAGATCCCAGGACACATGCATACCTGTCAATCCTCTCTGGATTATCAGGAAGTGTTTTACCTACACGACTGTACGACACACTGGTCAGATCAGCAGAGAGTGTGAGACAAGAAGCTGCTGTGTTTGGATCCAGAGTCACCGGAGCTGCAAAGAGAATAACATCAGATTACAGGATGAGATATGATGGTATTAGAAATGTAAATAAAGCCTTTGTTTAAAGAGATCATAAATCATAACAATGGTATCTCAGTTACTGTCAGAATGGATTGAGGCTTCAGGTTTAATATCAGTATTCAATAAACACTATTGTATCCTAATACATAAACATAAACCATGAGGAATAGACTTTCATTATGAGTCGCTGTATGATCTGATGATCTTCTGAAATACAGTTCAGATTCACTTAGAAATTAAAGTGATTATTAAATATATTTCTATCAAATGTTGATGTTGTGTGTGTTTATATCTGAACTATCTTCTGCACTGTGTCAAATCTGCTGAGACTCACTGTGTTGGACAGTTTCCAGCATCTTCTTCCAGACTCTGAACGGCAGGTTACCCAGATAACGCCACACATGAATCAAAGCTCCAGAACTCATCCGTGGATCCGGCTGTGAGATCTGGACTCTGAGGAACATTCAGGAGTCAGAACTGCAGTGAATTTGAGTTCAGATCCACTGAGAGAAGAGATACGAGCAGCTCACTTACCTTTCCATCGAGACTTTATAGTTCTGGAAAATATAGTTTGAAAACATTTTAATATCTTATCAAACACTCTCACTGTCAATGAGTCTCTCTATACAAGTTGTTTTATGCACAGAGAATGAAGCCAGATTGATTTGTCACCTTTAGAAACGAGACGTCATTGTCTTTCATCATCTCCTCCATGTCTCTGAGTGTGTGTGAAAGAGCTGAGATGTGTGTGTTTATCTCCTCCAGCTTCTCCTTCATCCTCTTCTTCTTCTGCTCCTCTTCCTCCCTCAGTGCAGTGATTGTAGCTTCTTCTTCGTCTCTGAGAAACTGATGAAGCTTCTCAAACTCTTCTTTAATCTGACGCTCTGTGTGCTCAGCTTGAGACTGAAATCAAATCACATTCACTTCAGTCAGCTCTGTATGAACACACACTCCACTAATGTCAATAGTAAACTCTGTGTGTGAATGTTGAGTATTTAACTCTTTATATCCTCACCTCAATGTGTTTAATTGTTTCATCACACTTTTTCTTCATTTCTTCTCCATGTTTGAGCTTGTTTTGTAAGGACGTCAGTGCTGTATTAAATTCCTCCTACAGGTTAAGATGAAAATCAGTATTCAGCTATAAGATATTTAAATTGTATGTTTGTATGTTTTTATTGTTATATCATTTATATGTTGAATTACGGAGCCCCGCACACAATCGTGGACACGATTTACTTTATTGTCTTGTATGTCCTGTGTGGGACTCCGTGTTGAATGGGTCTATGTCATGAAGCATTTGTGCTTGAAAGTTGCAGGACATATATATATTTTTAATTATTTAATTTGGAAAGGGTGAACATCAAGAAATCATGTTTTCATCAAACAAATGTGTTTTTGCAATGGCCAATTCTGAATTATTATATCCATGCAGTTATAAATCAGTGGTTGAGCAAATACAGAGAGTGAAAGAATATAGTATCAATTACTTTTTGGTCTGTCTTGTAATAAATCATTAATAACCCATGACATTTCTATTTTTGAAATGCCGTCTCACACCGGGGGCGGAGTTAACACTGGTGAAATGGGGGACATGAAATGGCGCAGGCGCCGGTGTGGTGAAGAGATGAGTCCCAGCTGTCACATGTCTGTCTTGATCAGTTTTCCCGCTCCTCGTTTGTCTTCAGTTGTCTCACCTGTTTAGTTAATTATCATCATCTGTGTCACCTGTCATCATGTTAATCAGTCTCTGTATTTAGTTTCCCTCAGTTCATTCAGTCTTCGTCCGTTGTTAGTCATTGTTAGCCTTATTTTGGCGTGTGTGTGTTGTCCTGCCTGTCTGTTTGTACCTGTGAGTTATATATTAGTAAATCGTGTGAATTGGAGCCTTTTGACTTTTGCATCTTCTTCTACCTGCACCACACCCGTGACTCCGGCTTAGGACCCCAGTAATATGCCTGATCTAAAGCTGTTCTTGCGATAATTGCTTGATAACAAATAACTTAACGTCGCAAAAAAATCCTATAAATGCAATTTTATTTCATTAATCAGGATAAAAATAAAAGATTATTACATGAATTAGGGGGTTGACTGATTAGGGGAGAGCGGTGCACAACCTAATGCTTTTTGACTTTCTCAGTTTGTGTTCAGAGTAGGCCTATTTATTTTTTCCCACATTAACTTCACTCGTCTAGTACAATTATGTGGTTTTGTTTCATTAATACAGTGTATACTTTTTTTTATTGATTTACCCTGAAAGAATGGAAGTAAAATGTGACAACCTGCCCGTAACATGTGAGGGGCACATTGTAACAGGACCATATGACAGCTTAAAATGTTATCTGATCTAATCAAAAAAATATTTTTGTTGTAAATTTGTTGTAACGCAGAGTTACAACAAATTGCTCTGATATTGATGTGAGTTTTGTGTTATTATCATTTTTAACTTTTAAGAGGCGTGTGGGCTCTATCGGCTCTATCCTTCTTGGTTCGAAAGAAGAGCATGGCAGGGCTTGTTGGGTGAGTTCATCACGAGAGGTCATCCTTGTCCGAAGCTCACCGGAACACAGCAGCGGAAGAGAAGGTGTTGCCCGTGTAGATCACGGTGAGTACTTAGTCTTGGGAATTATGGAAAATTCCATATTCCATATGGAAGTGAGCATCCCTATGTCCTACTCCCTTCGAAGGGTAGAGGCCTTGAAGTGGGGACTTTGGAGGGAGCAGGGGACTTGAGTGCCATTATGTAGCCGTTTGGAACGCACTTGGCAAAGGGAGCAATGAAAGACAACGTAATTTCCTCATCCTCATCATGTTGTTATGCGAAGAAGCGAGAGGTGGGAACCAACGAACATTTAAACACTTTAACAATAACACAAACACAAGTCGGCAGCCCCTTACGAAGGGTTCCCTCAAGCCTGCGCTCTACTCCCCCCTTTTATTTAGAATAGGAGACGGAAGAATGGGGAGCAACAGAGTCCATGTCCATGGCGACAGACACTACACAGTAGGGGTGTGACGAGATCTCGTGCCACGAGATCTCGCGAGACTAAATATGACGAGATTTCTCGTCGAGTGAAAAAGCTGTCTCGCGATATCCCCATTAATATTCCACCGCTACACTCACATTCGCCTAAACTATCGTTTTGTTGTTTTTATAAAAAAATAAAAACCATTATAAACTAATGCAAAAGTCTGCTCTGCTCATCCAGCGCGAGTTGCCGTTGCAATCAGTGCAGCACGAATCACAGTTCACTGATCGCGTGACGATGGCGGAGGATTCGTTGCGCAACAGACTAAACGTCTGGTAAATGTCTTATCATTTAGAATGCGCGCTCAGCACCGCTGCTCCCTATACGCGCGGTCACGAATTTGTAAGTGAAAGTAAAACACAAGCTCCCTGATGTGCATTGCGCACAAATTAGGCTGCATACATAAAATAATCCGTCTCCCAATACCCATCTCTGGACTGTTTATTTGCGGCTCTGGTCTCTGTTGGCACTGCGAATATTGAGAGAGCACTGTAACGTACAAAGGACAACAGACAAGGGAGGCTCCGTTTCTGAACTTATAATCGGAACGCAAGAACAACTGTAGAGACAAACAGCCTCGTTTCTCTCGGCCTTTTCCGAACTCACCGCATTAACCCTATAACTGCCGGTGCAAAATAAAACCGCAATTTCACAACAATTATAAAGAGTCTGTGTGCTAACTTTGATTATGGTTGCACTCGCACTTATTGTTTGCACTTAATAAGACTAAGAGAAAACAGTTATTTATTTTTGTTATTTATACGGTTTTTATTTCTCTGTTAAATGTGTGTTAAAAGGAGTTCAGTTAGGAGGTCACACACAGCCTCAATCAGAAGTTCTGAAAGCTCTTAAATGTACAGTAAGGTCTGAAGAGACTAATGTGAAATTATACAGGAGAAAAGCCAGTCAATAAAAACCTTTTACAGTGCTTGAATATTGTTTTCTTTCAATGCATTTGATAATTCATACTCATAAAGTAGACCTGAAATGACATGCATTAGAAGATTATTAGTTAAAACATTGAAAAATGCACCTGCATACTATTTTTCCAGCCATGAATTTTGTCATTGAGGATTTCTGAAAAATTGTGCAAAAATCTCGTCTCGTCTCGTTCTCGTGAACCCAATCTCGTGTCTAGTCTCGTCTCGTGAGATAAGCGTCTCGTCACACCCCTACTACACAGCCAAAACGCACTGCTATCTGGTCCTCCACCAGCTGGGGGAACTCCTCCGCAATGCCTGGCGGTGGCGAGTTCGTCTGTACCTCAGTCCAGGCCAGCGCCTCAAATGTCCATGGCGACAGACTCTACACAGCCATGCTCAATGGCACTGCAGATTCCCCACAGGGCAGCGCTTTTCCTCCTTCCTCCCGGGTTTCGACACCAGTGTAACGAAGTATGTTGACTCGTGCAGGGCCGGCGATTGCTATAGGCGAACTGGGCGGTTGCCTAGGGCGACAAATGTGTTGGGGGCGCGGGCGCCCTCTAGTGTCGCCCTTGGCCTACTTCCCATTAATCATAGAATTACAATGACAAGCGAAACAAAAACATGTTTATTAAATATGATCATCCTAAGGCGCCCCTCAGCCATACGTTTAATTACTTGTCAACCTGATTATTAGATTGAATGGATGATTATTGTCGATCATTTCCTAAAGGGGGGGGCGGGGGTTAGTTACGTTACGTTACGTTCTATGGTTACGTTAGGCAAGTGCTCGGCTGCTGCGTGCGCTGATCGAAAATGAAGCGGTCTAAACCCTCTGGTGCACAGGGACGAAACGGAGATAGCAACAAGATAAAAAGAAAGCCCAGTATAGAGGTAAGTCTTCTCATCTCATCCATTAAGGTGTCAAATGTTCTGGCCAGCGGGCCCGACGTGCTTTTTGGGCCGATACATACATCTCATACTTTTATTTTTCTATTTTTGTCTTAATGGCCCATAAAACTCGTACATCGGTTTGTTTTGTTTTGGTTAATTGGCGGCGCTGGGTTACTTCCAAATATATAACTTACTTTCAAGTATAGAAATTTGTACAATACTCATGAAAGTTTCCTTTATTTTTCAGTGCATTTGTTTTACAATATAGCCTATGGCAATTACTGTCATGGGATTAATATTATATATCTATTATTATGTAGTAGTGTAATGTAGACAGACACTGTAATTAAAAGAGGTTTGAATTTTTCTTTGTTCAATTTGCACACTGAATATGGGTTGGAGCTTTTATTTTTGAACTCTCAAAGTGCACCAGATTGATGAATTTAACATTTAAAATGCACAACATTTTCTTACAGGGAAATACCCCCGAAACCCCCTTAACCTTGTAGCAGCCCAATAGATTGTAATAATAGTTGGCCTAGTGTGGTAGTAGTTGTAATTTATCTACTAAAAGTTATTTATGGTCAGATAAAATATAGTTGTACAATCCAACTATGATATATCCTTGAATGTTCTTTGTAGCATTTGTTTGAACAATTTATTGTTTAAGTTTTTGAGTAACTATAAGAGCATGTTTAGTTTAATAAATACTTATAATTTTTTAAAGGGGGGGGGGGGGGAGAACTGCCCTAGGCGAACTCAATATCGCCTAGGGCAACCAAAGGGTTAGAGCCGGCCCTGGACTCGTGGAACCATCAAAATCCTTCTTCAGGAAATGGTTTCACTGCAATGGCCATGCAAGTATACATTTAATGAGGTGCTCTGAAAATAATAAGCTGATGGTTCTTTTCATAGTTAAATGGATCATAGTTCCATTTTCCTGCTTCCGGTTTCATTCTGTCACTTACCATTTTACCCATGTATGTGCGTGTGTGTGTGTTTACATTAGTTATGTTTGTGATTTACTTAATAAAACTTGTGCACAATACGTATTTGGTTCCGATTATCTGTCCTGCAAACAAAGTCTATTTAATGATTCCAGATTCTGACTAAATGCTCTTTATAGTAATGTACTGTAAGAAAGTAATTTCCCAACCCTGGAGATTAACATTTCTATTAAGAAATTCATAATCAATATTGAGGGTTCACAGGATGAACTGATTAACTGGTTGTAATGTTAATGTAGCTACATCAAGTTAATCCGATTAACTGATCCAAATATTTATATTTAATCAGAACAAGTTATGAATAATTATTAATATATTCCTTATGAGCTAACTTGCTACAACACAAACACAAAACATAAGTAAACACATGAACAAACATAACATAAAAAGTCCAGGCCTGGTCCTCTCTCATCCTTCACTGTCGTCTCTCCTCCTTTTATGCTTCTGAAGCTCCTCCGTGAGAGATACGGTACCGGTTAACATAACTGTTACATTTATATAAAAAGTTTTTTAAATGTTTTATATGTATAGCCTATGTGTGTGAGTGTATTCCTCTGCTCTCAACTTTAATTCTTGCCGTGTCATCAGTGGGCTCTGCATTACCTGACACATTTCTTACACATGAAACTTATTTAAACATAACATGGCAAAAATGCGTGAAACTTGAATTTCTCTGTTTGTAAGTTAACTCAAACTCTCCCGCCATCTAGCTTTAAAATGAATCCCGAGTATTCGCTGGGTGGGTCACATGATCATGATAAAATTACTTCCTTGAAGTGATCATCGCATGTACCCTTCGCTAAACCTGAACCAGTTTGTTCACTTTCGTTTGAAACACCCCTACAAATGGCAACCCTTTCACAAACGCCTTTTGGATTTTGCCCTTGATGATAGGCGTCTTGCAGAAGATTGGCTGAAGGGAAATAATCTGGCCAGTGTTGCAGAGACTCGAGAGGCTTCAGTAGTATTTGGAGGAAGGGTTTTGCGTTAGCAAACGCAATGTCGAAGTGAACCGAATCGAAAGGGAACTGTTTCTGTGTTTAGCACTGCGTTAAGCATATGGCATAAGAAACATTTGTCTTACCTTGTAAGATGAAAGCACTTCACTGATGGGTCTGAATGTGTGATTGGTGTGTTTCTCTGAGTTTATGCACACGAAACACACAGGCTGTTTGTCCTCCAGACAGAAGAGTTTGAGTTTCTCACTGTGTAAACTGCAGATCTCCTCAGATCCTGATGAACGTTTCTCATTTTCCTCTTTTATCAATGAATCACACAAGTTTTTTAGCACGAGATTCACTGGAGGATGAGCATTTGAGGATCTTCTCCTGCAGACAGGACACTCCTGAGTTTTCTTAGTTCTCCAGAACTGTTGTAGACACTCTTTACAAATACTGTGACTACAGGACAGAAAAACAGGAACCTTGAAGATTTCAAAGCAAACAGGACAAGAAAGCTCTTCCACAGATTTTGAATCCATTTCCTCGTCTTGTAAAAGATCCAATGATCCACAATTTACTTTCACTTTCTGAACTTTGGTTTAAAGAGTAAAAAAACATTACAATCAAAATCTCATCTGGGTTCATTCAGAAATAAACAAAAATGCTATAATATAAAGTGTCCTCCTCTGTTTTTCTCAACACTGACTCGTTTTAGCTTTCAGTAAAAATGAAAGGCAGAAATAATGACTAGTCACTTCCTGGTAGGGTTTGTAAGAGGGTGGAGTTTCTGAAGACAGACTGGTTATATAGTTTTATCTTTATTTTATTTGTGCTTTCAAGCATATTCTGGAAACAAAGAACTGAATAAAGAATCAGGTGAGAGTCTGTAGCATAAAACATAAAATAATTTAATACTATAAAACAAAATAAGTTTACAAAAATATAGATTTGGGCATATTTAGAGATAGACCGACATTGTGTGTGTGTGTGTGTGTGTGTGTGTGTGTGTGTGTGTGTGTGTGTGTGTGTGAGTGTGTGTGTGTGTGTGTGTACTACTAGCATACTACTCTTTCTATTTCTGCCATTTAAAAAAAATATATTTTATGCCGGTAGGAAAACTTACATCCCCATCTTCCAGTTCAGCTGGGAGTGAGCATCGAGTTTGCGAATCGATTTCGATGTTGATTCAATATCTATTCATTTGGATATACATATAGTATGTTAATTTTTCTCAAGGAGAAAAATCTAATGTGGTAAACTGCACAGTGAACTCTGTCAGCTGGAACATTATTATTAAAGGTTAATTAATAACTGATTTGTACACAATTGTTTGCACAATGTGCATTTTTTTAATTTCTTAATAAAACATACAAAATTTGAAGGCTGAGACTTTGTTCATATCAAAAGTGTCCTGCTGTGTCTTGTCTGTCAGCGTATAGTCACGTGTTTACTCACTGTGTGGCGTGAGACCGTGAGTAACCCTGCCATCTACTGTCAGAAAAGGGAAATGCATCCCATCTGATCAGAAATGCGGAAAAAAAACCCGTATCATGTCAGCAATAATGAAACAAAAACAAGACACATTTTATGTTTCTAGTATTCTATATTCAATGAAACACTATAGGGGACTCCCAGGTTATTTGTTCTGCTCCTTATAGGGGGTCCTAATGCTTATGAGTGGTCCGAGCACTGATAATAACACTTTTTTAGGTTAAAGTTTTAAAAATTTGCTTCAGCATCTTCGATTCCAGCAGTCATTATTACATGTATAAATCCATTCAAATCCGTCATTTTAATATATACTCTCTTGTGTGTAACTGATTCACTGACTTTTAAAAACAACAACAACAAACAACATAGTATTATCATGGTGGCTATTTTATCTGGAGCCCCTGAAGGGACATGGTGGAGGAAACAATTTGGGATGGGAGAAATAAATGTTTTTCAAATCTTTTGCGTTCCCCCGAGAAACTTTGCGGAAACAACATTTCCTTCGCAAACATATTTGTGTTCTCTCGCAAAACCTGTTGTGAGCTTGGACAAACACTTAGTTTACACCTGGCCACTTCATGCGTTTTCTCAGATCAGATACAGATCAGATAGCTATCTGATTTATCAAAACGATTCCATTTACACCTGGTCACATAAATGTGTTTTTGCAAAACGGATATAAATCTTCAATTCCCGCTGCAGATTTAATGGAGTGCACGTCACCGAAAGCAACAGATATTGCTGCATTTTATTGATCATCAGCTAATTTCAAAATCAATTAACAGAACTGGTAAGATCATTTCGTTGTGTAACGAGTGGCACGGATTCTATATCTCACAAGTTCAGACTCAGAAGATTTCCGGATCGACTCACTGAAGCAAAACTAGCAAAAGTCAATATTATAATAAATTAAAATGAGTAAATCACTCAGACTACTGTAATGCAATCTGCTAAATAAAAGGTAAGTATATTTTCTCTTTGTTGGCAATTTGAATAATTATGGAAATGAAAATAAAACAAAGCAATTAAATGACAGAAAAATACAGTACTTCAATTGAATTACATATACCAGGAAACAATGAAAATTCTCAATGTCACTTTTCGAAATCTCAGCCTCAATATTTAAATTCCAAATTCAACAATTGTATTCTCAATTTCAAAAATAAGAAATAAGAATGTTCATCAAAATGGAAAAACAGTTCAGTCCATGAGGAGAAAAAAAACTCAAATTCTTGTCTTCAGGAAAATCCAGGTAAAGTGAAAAGTGAAAAAAAATACCATGTGTGTAGTTCTGTCCTACCCACTCTGAAACTTTGTTTCTCACACTCTTTTACAGGTTTCCAGGGACGAAATGATGGGATGGCTCGCCAGTCCAACCAGGAATAGAAAATCCACAGCAGGACAGAAATCAGAATCTCGGCAGCAATTCAGGAACTCTCAACAGAGAATTTACAGGAAAAATATACCAAAACAAAAAAACCCGGCCTTGGAAACAAAGCCAAACACAATTATTAGTACATCATCCAAATAAAACTTTTTAAACAATTAATCAACATTCTCTTCAATTATTTAAATACATATGCATGCTAATCACCATGTGCTTGATTGACACACTTGAGTCTATGTACAGAGCTAGCAAAGCTAGCACCGCATGGCACACAATTTTCAATAAAGAAACACAATCTCAACAAATAATACATCTCTGCATTATTTAACGCAACTATATACCATTACATAGTATCAGGGGCGGTTTCTTCATTAGGGCGATTGGGCGACGCACCACCAAAGTGTAAAAGTGACTTTTTCAATCACATTCACAATCTCATTCAACCACAGAGTTACGCTAGCCGTCACTATAGTCCAATCAGCGTCATGTCACGTTCTGTAGAGTACCGCCTCTTTTTGGGCGATTTCACTATGGCTGAGAATCGCCCAGAGTGTTCCCATAGACTTGCATTCAAAGATGTTTTTTTTCTAACTGCAGGCACTGCAATGCATTCTCTATGGGTTCCGGGAGGGCTCGCACTAACGTGCTTACGTCATCATACGTATCCTTAACTTGTGCAGCGATTGGTGGGAACAAACACACACTATTAAAAATCTTTAAGATTAAGTGACAAATAATATTTGAAAACAATTTTGAATTTGAATAACAAGAAAAAATGAAACACTACTATAATATCTTTATCAAATGTGATTAAAAAAATAAAAATAAAAAAGAACGAGAGCGAGAGAGACTGTTGGGACCAGTTGAACTTGAACAACGTCATGGCGAACGCAGTCATAACACAGTCATTTATCGTGTCATTAAAATAAATACCATTCACCCCGTCGTAGTAATCAGCATACATTGAGCAGGAGCAAGTAGGAACAGGAACAACAAGATCTAGGAGGGCCTTGGGAGAAGAAGACAAGCAGAGGCTGTCTTAAGAGGTATTTATTGCTGAACATTTTAATACTCGAGTGTTGGAAAATCTCACTTTGTTTTTACAATCAGTTTAGGAAAGGATGGTAGCAGTCTTTTTTACTCCTAGCATTGTACTTTGAAATTTGTACATTTCTATTCGAACACCAACACAATCTTTATCCTACATGTCAACGATTCAGTCAACAATATTATTTGTCGCCACCTAGTGGATTCTTTAATAAAATAACTTAAACTATCTGAGTGGATTGAAAATACATTTACTGGTCAAAAACCCTTGTCAAACTCCATTTGAGCTTGAATTTTGGTAAAATGTTAATTAACGTAATAACACACACACACACACACACACACACACACATCATCAGCGCTGTCGGACGGAAGCCTTGTATGTCCAAAACTGTTACTTTTCAGGAAACGAAAGAAAACCTGTTTTTCCCCCAAAATAATTCCCAAGCTCTTTTAATGCTTTCCATTGGTAAAATATTTGTAAAACACATTGACAGATGTAAAGGGTGACCAATAGCATTCATTTTTGAAAAAATAGGGAAATATACAATATGGATTCTGCCTGATACATTGTTGCTGTCGGGATGGAAACCTTGTATCTCTATATTTATATTATAATAAATAATTTATTTTATAACTAAAATAAATGTATTTATTTTGTCAGGTCTGCAACACAATCTTAAAGTAGAGAAGTTGCCTTTACATGCTTAAGCTGTTAATTTATCCATTGCATGGGTGGACCTTATCCTTATCAATAATCCAAACATTTGCCCCCCCTGAGAGATTTTGCAGGAGCCGCCACTGCATAGTATATTATGAAACATTTCCAAAATTTTTTCATATAACAATCCACTTTACTGATGCATTGTTCATATTACTACTACAAAAAAAAAACGATATTCTCATTAATTAAACACTTTTCATAAAGAAAATTGTACTCACCAAGGAGAAATATAGATCACAGAACAAAAAAACAATTTTCCAAAGGAAAGATTAGAAAATTTCTCCTATCTCTTCAGTATGGGTTCAGCACGACGCGGTGAGTTTTCACAAAGCAGTTTCTCACGTGCGAGCTCTCTAAAGAACTAAAGCCTCATAAATCTACTGTGCTTCTTTATAATTTATCGCAAAATTATCACTGTTCCTTCTTTCTTAACTCATTCAATCGATTTAATATCACTTTCGTGTCGTTCAGAATCTCTTGCAATCTTTCATCTCTGGTCTCGTCTCAGCTTGATATGGATAGATCTGGAAATTATTTTCTCAACGGTGGGCGGAGTTAACCCTTCACCTACCAATCGGAAATTCACTCAAAAACGTTTTTTTTTATCCTTTAATTATTTATAATGAAATAAATACATTTTATTTATAATTTTTCACTCACTATTAGTTTCATATCGATATGAATAAACCAATACTAATTATAAACACTAGTGACCCAAATTAATGTACTGGGTTACAGTTGCTTTACTTTTAATGAAGATGATTGTGTTAAGCGTCTGCGACTTACTTTCACTTTGATTTGCGATAGTTTGCGGCGCGTTGGCTTGATGAATAGACACTCAGCTGCTCATCTGAGGTGATGGGTGTTGTAGTAGCGCCGTCAATCTGACTAACATGACATATAGCCTATAACACGCTCTCACACGTTTATTTTTTAGCATTTTTGGGAGGAGTAAAATTTACATATGTAGATAGCACACGTACGTCTGCAAGATGTCTGTTAAAGATCAATTCATCTGGAAAGCATCTGCTGTTTACTAACATCTTATAGACATCTTTAAGATGTCAGTTTAACATACATTCTAAATCAT